AGTTGAGGTTTTCATAATTCAATTACATATCGACATAAGTTTTTGAAATCTAGCCATCAATTTCAACAGCAAAATTAACGAATTTTCTGGTTTTCGTTTTTCAATAAAAACGGATTTCAGAACAAACATACAACCAGAAAGATGCTAGGTTTTTTTTAATAAATCTTTAAATTTTTACCTGTATCGCCTATCACTTGAACTTCTGCCAGAGTGAGAAATCCTTTTCCTCTTCTCAAAAGTTTCACATGGCGGCCTGAGATTGGCCTCTTACATGTGATCATTATTACTTGTCTAGTCTTACCAGGTCCTTTAAAATTATTACAGAGTTTCATTCCATGAGGATTTTGTCCAACTGTAATTGCTATATTCTTCAGCCGATTACCTGAAAAATATATCAATATCAAGAGTCATATTATAAATTGTTCAAAAATGGAATTTTAAAATTTCCATCTAGCTGTGCTAATCATCATGACACTGAATGCATTCAATATACCTAGTACACTCTGTGCAATGAAACACATTTTAATACTGAACTAATTTTAATTCAATACACATGTCTTTGTTTTCCGTAAAGTATATATATATATCTCATCCATTTTTATCAACAGGAAGAATTATATATACTTATAGAGTCTAAAAAGCACTATTCGCTCACCAGGATACGATCCAGTGTATTTTTTCATATTTCTTATTTGAAAAAAAAATAATACCTAGAGATCGTTCTGGATTATACAGGTATACTATGTATTATGAATGCTGAAAACAAAGCAGACAATTTTCAATTTCTTTTTTTTTTTTTATTAAAAAAGTGTAAGTCTAGAGAAACAATTCCGTCAGAATCAAATTCATTAGTTGTCTACTGTTTGTTTTTAAAACGTTTGAAACTTCAAAGGTATGAGATTGTACTACATATAGCTTCCAACATTTTCCCACCGTTTTAATCTAATTTAAAGGTCTATTTCCTTCTGAAAACACTGGCCTCAACCGTCGACCAAAATAAATTGTTTATAAAAATACGAATAATAGTGAGATACACATACTAACAAATAATTATAGTGGTTCATGCATGTGGCAAATGTCGTCAGAGGCAAAATCTGCAAAAATTTACCGAAATTAAGTAAATATTATGAGCGATATTGTATAAGGGCTTATTATTAAAATCCTGAAATAAACAAAACAAATTTTCATCCTATCACATTATATTACTTGACCTCTTTCGACAGTCAACTTTTGTGTTGATAATTTTTTTACATTGTTTGAAGGTGATTTTGTTCGATGAATCAACACTTTATAAGTATATGATATTATGTTTAAGTTTTTCTAAAGATCATAACAAGTACTAAACTAAAATTACTTTAGTTGATAGTTTGATGATTTACATATTGTCATATGATTAATTTCTAAAATAGTGTGGCATTAAAAGTAAACACTCCTACCACACCCACATTTTGAATCTTATCACAAATTCATTTTTTTTCTTCTTACCACAGCAATCTTGTCTGTTAATAATATTGATCTGTTTCACGTTGACTGTTTTCCCCAAATCAACACTCCAATATGCATTTTTTTGTGCCTTTGTGAATGCAAACGTGTTTTTTTTTGCATCAACTGCTTTTGAAGCATCATAATGTGAACGAAACGTCGAACTCTGTACTGCTTTTTTTCGAAAGGCATAGTTAAATCCTGTGGGAAAATGATTAAGATTTTCAAAACACAACTAATGACTGAAAAATGTTATGTATGTTGTATTAGAATAGAATGCATTTCTGCATATTTGCTCATTTGATAACTATTAAAGTATTCTTGTATATCAAGATTTACTGTACAATTGATGTCACATGCAGAAAAGGATATGTTACTACTTCAGATAACTGTAGTTTAATTGTTTACTAGACAAATAAATTTGTTCAACGATGAATCTGTAATGTTACACATTTTAATAAATCAAATCTTACAAAAGTCTTTTGACAATGGAACAAAACTTTAATATATTTTCTATTTATTTCTTTTTGCTCATTTCAGTTTTAAACGCATGTACAATATACATGTGTTTTTTTTTGCATCAACTGCTTTTGAAGCATCATAATGTGAACGAAACGTCGAACTCTGTACTGCTTTTTTTCGAAAGGCATAGTTAAATCCTGTGGGAAAATGATTAAGATTTTCAAAACACAACTAATGACTGAAAAATGTTATGTATGTTGTATTAGAATAGAATGCATTTCTGCATATTTGCTCATTTGATAACTATTAAAGTATTCTTGTATATCAAGATTTACTGTACAATTGATGTCACATGCAGAAAAGGATATGTTACTACTTCAGATAACTGTAGTTTAATTGTTTACTAGACTAGTATCACGTGTTTTTTTTACATCATGGTGTGTCTGTTTGTCTTTTTATTTTTGGCCATGGCCTTATCAGTTCGTTTTCGATCTATGAGTTTGACTGTCCCTCTGGTATCGTTCGTCCCTCTTTTGTAAAAATATAAATATAACGTAAAGGTATCCAAATTGCATATATTTTAACATTTTTGCACCTACGTTTATTTATGTTCCAGACAAATTTTCACTTATTTTGTAGATCTTTGTATCCCTATTTACTATAAAGTTCCACCAATTTATTTTCAATCCATATTGAATCATAGATATATTGGGGTTGACCCAGCTCCAAACGATCCATGATTCTGTAGTGAGTAGTACCCAATCCATGCTTAAACCATAACCGTAAAAATCGAATAACTGATGTTTTGCTTTTTTCCAATTATTTAGAACAATTTGACAATAGTCCATGCTTACTATTGATTTTTTAAGAAATGAATACCTGTAAAATATTTTAATTGCTCATTTTGAAAAAGGAGATTATTAGTTAACGTCGATTCCGCAAATGTTACTTTTTACATTGGATACTTCATCTGTTGATATATACTGTGAACATTTTGTGTATATTTAGATATAATTAGCTTTGTTGAAAAACGTGCATAATGTCAAATCATTTAACTACAAATGGTTCAGCTTCTAAGAAAACTTGAAAGATTTCCGCTGCTATTTTTTCTAAATGTCTATTATTTGTGTAGTCGGAACAATTTGGGTACTGTGACGTTATAATCATCAATTGTATAACGATTTTTTCATTTAGTTTTATAATAAACATGTAATAATGTTGACATCTTTGTCTTTGTTACGCTTCATGTGAATAACCGAGTAACATAAAACATGGAAAAAGCACATTGTTACAAGAAAACTTAGAAATCTTTGATTAATCAAAAGATATCATACCTTGTGGTTTTTCAGATTTTACATGAGTCACTGATATGAAAACATGAACTAAGAATATGTTATTTATCGTCCAATACTGGACGCATTATTTCAAGCAAAACATATTCCAAGTTACACTGGCAACTTTCTGAATGTTCTTTTTCGTTGATGAACGTATCAAAAATTGCATTTCTACAAGAGCATTCCCTTTATTTTTGAAACTGAATAAATGAAATTTACTTGTAATAAATGAAGGCATTTGGTAAAATTCTTTTTTTCTTAATCGATTTGCATTAAAGTCGTCTTTGTTGCTTCTTCTGTCTGCGTATGTATTTTAAAACATTTTGATATCGAACCTTTTTTGATTCTGTAATTTCTTTTAAAAACAAAACAAATTATTCGTTCATCACGCTCAACACGTTAGCTGGCCTTTAAAAAAACTTTGTTTTGATAAACTACATATATCTTACCTTCTGGTTTAGGTTTTTTATTTTCCTCTGAAATAAAGAAGCGAATCGTTGCGATTAGGAAAATAATCTATACAAATATAAATAAATTTGCTCAACAATGAATCTGTAATGTTACACATTTTAATATTGAAAAAATCTTACAAAAGTATCTTGACAATGGAACAAAACTTTTATGTATTCTATATTTATTTCTTTTTGCTCATTTGTATTTTTTAAAGCATGTACAATATAGTAGTTTTCACTAAAATGAAAACATAAATAACGTTATTTATCATCCAAATACTGGACACAATATTTCAAACATAACATACTCCAAGGTAAAATGTAAAAACTTTTACCGTTATAGGTTTCTTAATGATCTTTTACGTTGATGAACGTATCAAAATAAAGGTATTTTTGTCTTAATCGATATGCATTAAAGTCTTCTTTGTTGCTAGATCTGTCTTTTCGATATCGAACCTTTTTTGATTCTGTAATTTCTTTTAAAAACTAACCAAATGATGTCTTGTTAAAAACGCTCAACACGTTAGCTGGCCTACAAAAAAAACCATTTGTTTTGATAAATACATGTATCTTACCTTCTGGTTTGACAGGCTTTTTATTTCCCCCTGAAATAAAGAATCGAACCATTGCGATTATGATAATAATTTATACAAATATAAATAAATTTGTTCAACGATGAATCTGTAATGTTACACATTTTAATAAATCAAATCTTACAAAAGTCTTTTGACAATGGAACAAAACTTTAATATATTTTCTATTTATTTCTTTTTGCTCATTTCAGTTTTAAACGCATGTACAATATACATGTATAAGTTTTCAAGTTTACATTCATGCAGATTTGTCAATAGCATGTTTCCTCATTTTAATTTGTGCTTGCACAAATGAGCAGACAAACAAAAATATGTCATTTAGGTTATACTTATTTTTATTCCGACACACACGTTTATATAAAAATGAAAAATTGTGGTTGGATTACCAATGAGACAACTCTCCACCAGAGACCAAAGGACATAGAAGTTTACAACTATAGGTCACCGTACGTTAAACCGTATACGCGTTAATGTAGATTCATTTTTAGAATTTGTGATTTCCTTTATATTATTTTTCGTTTACAATTCTTATACTTTGTTATAGAAAGGATTATTTAATGTTATGTATCAATATTTCAAATCAATACTTCAGTTCTATTCATCCATGCATCATATAGTAACATACAACAGAGAATGGCGTTACAACATGATTGTTTTCATAAATACTTGTATCTTACCTTCTGGTTTTACAGGTTGTTTTTCATTTTCACCTGAAATATAGAGTCGAATCAATACGAATTAAATAATAATATATACACATACAAATAAATTTGTTGAACAATGAATCTCTAATGTTGCACATTTTAATACAAAATCTTATAAAAGTCTCTTGACAATGGAACAAAACTTTTGAATCAAAACGCTTGAGAAGTGTGAATAAAAGAAAAGTGTGGTATGTGTCACGACCACAAAAAATTCAGGTCACGGAAATGGTTTTCTAAAATAAAAAGGTACTTACTGTATAGTTCCTCAAGTCTAACATGAAAGTTCTTAACTGATTTATGACTATCCCAGATATGGTATCAACACAAAAATAATCAAAATGAAGAAAATAAAAGATAAATTCTCAAAAGTCATATCTCATTAGATATACCCCTTTTTAAATTAGCATTAAACTTTGACTGCACGCATCTGATTTCAGATCAGTGTCTGCAGTTACACTTTTCTAGTTGTATGTTTTGTAATATTGCTTTTTATCAAAAATTTAGAAAAAGTCAAAACTTGAAAAAACTATACTGCTGACATATACCCGAAGGAAATAAGTTAGAATAAATCATATAAGATTAAGTTCATTCAGTTTTACATAGGATACTCTGCACAAACATTTACAAGGATTTTGGTTACCACAAGTGACTAAAAGCATTTACTGGTCAGGATTCTTTCATTTATACAAAGATTTGGTTTGGAAGTTTGGCTGTACCTATAGACAACTTATTTATTACAAACGGGAAAGCACATCCTAAATTTTATGATGATGTTGTTTACCGAGCTAGTAAATTTAGATACGATACGGGTAAATTTATCGATCCTTTAAATAAACTTGTTTTAAAAGGTTAAGGTTACCGATTCAACATTGTCATTAGATCTTTGAATATTGTTTTATTTTGTATAAATATTGATTTATATAAAAATCAAACAAAAAATTATTGCTATGCACATATGTACACTCAACTCACGGTCTTACAATATGTTGATACCTATTGTGACGGGTACCAATTTGTTGTTAATTGCATTTAACTATTACTATTTCTTCCCATTCTAAAAAGTTATATTTGTGTGCCATTCATTCCTAAATTTCACTGAGATAAAGATGGAATCACGGCATTTTTGTTCAGGAGTATTTTTATGATTTTTATTCAACATCATATGACTGATAACTGACAAAATAAACCATAATACCAGTCATTTTTATTATGTTGTAGCATTTACTTTGGGAAATATTGAAATTGCATTTGTTATTTGCTGTTATGAGACGACCCCCGTAATTATTACTTTCATTGAAAGAGTGATGTTTTTGACTCGTATGTACATTTGTTATTGTGTCATATAAACTTACTTATCTGTAAAGCTTCCTCAAGTCAAATTGGTATAGGGAGTTACAAGTTTTAGGTCAGAACATTTTGTTTGACTAAATAATTTGTCGATAAATTCGTTGACAGGCAAGCACCTGGCATCGTTCAGCGCCATCTTCTTAACGGTACTGAAGCGTTTTGGTTGGTCGAACATTTACGGAAGGTCACGATTATTTTTAGCTTATCGTAAAGAATTTTGATTATTATATTCTATATACGGAACAAACATTTCAACAATTTATAAAAATAAACATTTCATAGAGGCCGAATTGGGAAAAATCGTTTATGATTTCCATTGGTTTATTGGATAAAATTGCAATTGCGCGGTTGAAAATTGCACGAAATCTGCACAAAAAATGCACTAATTTTAAGTACAATTATTAAAACCCCAAAACGCGAGTTTGACGTCATTCTGGTCAAAGACGTTCAAAAATAGGAGGAGATATTCTTTAGAAAGCAAGAATAATGGCAATTTACTTTACTTTTTGTAAAGGTTTCATCATTTAAAGAACACATAATTGTTTAAAAACGATTTACGCAAATTCTACTCAAATTGAGGAAACTAGCAATATTATGGAAATACTATTTTTTTATAATGATGGTTTAAATCTATCTAGAAAACATAATCCATAGAGATTATGTTACAAATATTTTTCTTGTTGAGAAATTTAGTACGTTGGTAATACTTTTTGCTGAACCACTGTGCCAAGGCCGATTATGCGGTTTCATGACCTTGAACAATTAAAGCAAATTTAACCCCAATCGTCTATTTACATAATCAAACTAAATTTAGAAACATATTTTATTTATGTTACTGGTAAAGGGATCCAGTTAATCTAAAGCAAAGACTTTTTGCAAAAGTTTATCGTTTTTAGTTGGGTTTTCAGACAGTGAGACACATGAAAATGCACATTACTAGCGAAGGAAACTAGTACAAATTTCCATAAATTCTTGTTCAAAAGACCACAAATTTATAAGTCAATTAATTGGTATTAGAACAACTTAGAAAAGTAATTGTTAGTAAAATATATCATACTTGTTAGTAAAATATTAAACATTTGATGGTTTAGAAAAAGGAAAATTTGTTAGTAAACAATAATGAACAGATAATTAATTCTTGCTAACTTTTGTCAATTTTTTTTGGTTACAATTTGAGACAATCGTTTTTAGTCAAAGGGAGCTAAAACACAGGTTCAACAAAGGATTGTATAATAGAATTTTACTTGATATCTATTAACTTTACTGAATTTCACATTTTATTGTATAGGTCAAGTTTGGCAAATGATGAGACATACGTTTTTAGTCAGAGGAAACTAATACAAAGTCTCTACTAAAACTTATATCAAAGCTTTCACTGAATCATTGAACTACCAGTTTAGGAAATCTTGTAATTATCAAGTTTGGACAATTTGAGACAATAGTTTTTAGCCAGTGGAAGCTATTACAATGTATTAACAAAATTTTCCTCTTCATTTCATAGCACATCATATTTTATCAAATTAAGTCTCACTATAATTAGTGTGAGGTAAGATGTACTTTTAATACATGAATATCTAGTATTTTGTCCCGTGAGGTCGGATGTACTTTTGATAAATGAGTATCTAATATTTTGTTCCATATCTGCTCGTATTCTAAACAAACGAGAAAACATCATTGCAGATATTGTTTTACTCTTTATGAGTATTTATATAGTATTTGAATCAATCTTTTGAAAGATACTCTAGGCAACTGTCTAGAAATTCACTAAAGGTGTACTTAGTATTGATTAATTTGCAAGTTGTTTTTATTGGTCTTGAGCTTGACTACATTGTGTAATTTTGATCTCAAATATTTGCTACTGTTATGTGTTGTTATAATATATATGTATCAAAATAAAGTATTTGCAAATTCTGAATTGTTTGGTATAAATTTGTGATATCAGTCTCAAGAAGACCCTTCACGTTCACTATAAATAATTGAATAGGAGTTTAGGCTTGATCCTAAGACACATAAGAATCACTTCTCGAAAAAAGAGGTCTGTTGTCCTTCGTTTTAGATCTAGATAGGGAATTAGGTAGTTTAGGTTTTCGTTTGGGTTTATATATTTAGAGGTTTCGGTGTATTTGTGTTTCTGCCCTTTTCTCCATTGACCCGCTACACTATATCTAGGCATTGCACAAGGTCATGCTTTTCTTTGACTGTAAATGACGTCTTAATACTATATACATTAGAAGTTGAATGTTAACTGATTAATATTTTAGTATTAGAAACATAATTTTTTATTAGTTGATATGGGCTTGGAACTAGTTTCAGTAACTTTGAGTATTTGCAGGTTTGCATCTTGTATTTTGTGTTTGTGTTTTTTTGTTTTTTGTTCTTTGTATCGATATGATGACTTAAAGTCTTTTTCAAATGATTTTTATAGTTTGTTGTTATTTCGTGTTGTTTCACCACTGTTCCAGGTTAGAGGAATGGTTTGGGGCCAACAAACATGTGTTTAACCCCGCAACATTCTGTATGTCCCTGTCCCAAGCCAGTATCCATCCTGTAATACATTGGTTGTCGTTTGTTGCCATATATCATATTTGTTTTTCTTGCATTGATTGTACATACATGAGGCCATTAGTTTTCTCGTTTAAATTGTTATACCTTTGTCATTTCGGGGCCTATTATAGCTTACTATGCGGTATTGCTTTTGCTCATTGTAGAAGGCCGTACGAAGACACGTAGTTGTTAACTTGTATAGATGGGTGCAGTCCTAACCTTTTCAAAAGATAACTTAGAGCAGTCCTTATGACTAAAGTTAACTTTAGAAAATTTAAGCAGACCTTCAAGTTAACTTGATCCTTACCACATCAGACCTACGTCGTCAATTTTGGGACTGCTGCAGACCAGACTAGACCTGAGGACAGGTCAGTTTGACCAGACCTGTGGACCGGACATGACCAGATCAGACCTGTTAATCTGTCCTGTGGACAAGACTGCTATTTGATAGACCAGTTTTGGGTCAGGTCTGCTTTTTGATCGGTCCTAAGGATATATTTCTTATACTAAATTTGTTGATACATGAGTGTGATGATACTTTAATGATATTCATCAATCAAAGCATTCCTGTTTACTAGTTAACTTTATATCATGTTAACTTTATCTTGGAACAGACCAGACCAAAGTTAACTTTTAGAAGAACAGGTTTGGTTCGACAGAGCAGTCCAGATCAAGTCTTCTTTTTAAGTTAACATGAATTCTGTCCAAGAACCGATCGGATCAGTCATAAATCCTGTAACCGCTCAATGTCTGTTTTTTTTCTGTCCCAAGTTAACTTCCACCAGTCATAAAGTCTGGTCATCAAGTTAACTAGACGAACAGGTAAGGACTTTACCCATCTGTATGTCCTTTGGTCTGTCGCGGAAAATTGTTTCTTTGACAATCATACCACATCTTCTTATTGATATTGTTTATACATAAAACTATTCAACGATGCAAAGATTAATATTTAGCTGATAATCTACAGACGTATGCTTTTTTTATAAAAAAAATTCAACAGTAAAATTATAGGATTTTCTGTTTTTTGTTTAAACAGACAGTTTTTCAATAGAAACGAAATTCAGTACAAACATACAACCAGGAAGAAGCTATTTTAAAAAAATATATCTAAATGTTTACCTGTATGGCCTATCACTTGAACTTCTGCCAAACTGAGATAACCTTTACCGCTTCTCAAAAGTTTCACATAGCGGCCTGAGATTGGGCTCTTGCATGTTAACATTATTACTTGTCCAGTCTTACCAGGTCCTTTGAAATTACTACAAAGTTTCATCTGATGACGATTTTGTCCAACTGTAACCGCTATATTCTTCAGCCGATTGCCTGAAAAGATATCAATATCAAGAGTCTATATCAATTGTTCAAAAACGGAATTCTAAGACTTCAATCTGTCTGTGCCAATCATCATATCACCGATTGTATTCAATATAGCTAGTACACTCTTTGTAATGAAACACATTTCAGTATCGAACAAATTTTACTTCAAAACCAATTTTCTTTTATTTTTCGTAAAGTTTATTCATCTCATTGTTCATCAACAGGAAAATTAATACCAGATTCTTAAAAGCGGTATTCGATTACCAGGTTATGATATAGTTGATTTTTCCTATGTTTTATTTGAAAAATAAATATACCTAGAAAAGGTTCTTGATTGTACAGGTACAGTATTCATTATGAAGGCTGATAATAAAGCAGACAATTTTACAATTTAAAAAACAAAATAGAAGTCTTTATCAAGAAGAACGATCCCATTAGAATAAAGTCATTTGCTCTATTTAACAAAAGCACTATTGGGGTTAATGTCTGTTTTTGGCAAAAAGAATTAAAACTTTTTATGACTTCTTCAAAGCAGAAGGGCAACGAAAGGGCTAAACTTAGCTTTAAATTAGACTGTGATATCAAATCTAAACAATCTTTTCCCCCCGTTTAACTCCCATTTAAGGTATATTTCCTGTTGAAAAACACTGACCACACATGTCCACCAAAATGAATTGGTCATAAAAATATGGAAATCGACAAGGCACACATCCTCACAGATAATTACGGTGGTTCATGCATGTGGCGAAAGTCGTCAGAGGCAAAATCTGCAAACATTTTCCAAAATTTAGTGAAAACTATGAGTTTCATCGTGCGATTGCTCATTTGTGTCGTCATATATGACATTATGGCTGTTGTTAAATGTCAGAACGTGTAAAATTTCTATTCATGAGAGATTTAACATTTTTTTCTGTCATCAGATTTATACTTAAATTGCTGAAATGAATAACATGGAATTTAAGAACCAAATATGCCTCTCCCTTAGCAGAATCGTGTATTTTCACAAATGAAAAATACGATTTTTTTTGCAGTTCTCTATCCATGTTTCTTTTTAAGAAACAACTGAAAAGTCAAGAACTTTCAGAGAAGCGTTATTATGACTGTTCATTGGTTGATTTATGGTTGGTTATTTAACATCCGGTGGAAAATATTTCAGGCGTATTTAGGACGCGTACAAATAACATTTTAGAAAAAAGTTAGTGAGCTAGCTCTAATACCCCTTTCCTACATTTAAGACAGTAATATCGTCTTATGGAAATCAAGAATGACCTTCATTGTCGATCAAATGACCTGAAAATCAACATGTATCGTCCTCTTCATTCACTTAAAATATATGACCCCATATCGTAGAAAGGTTGTAATTCCATATAGGTGGCAGACCACCAATACATTCACTTCAATTTGAAACATATGTAAAAGTAGCCCTTCCCTGACAAAAAGTAGTGCTTATAATGTCATTGTTTACTTAAACCAATGAACAAACTTGCAGAAATGAAACTTTTAGTGAAAGAAAAATATATGTAGACCATTTTTCAGCAAAAATTTACTTGTCCATGAGTTTGTATTAAAAATTGAAGATTAATGCGCTCCATAGCATTCACACATCTTATTTATATCTACGATTTCCAGAAAACCAGGAGTTATTTTTAGTAGTACTTGACTTCCGAACAGTAGTATTTCATAACAAGACTTTAGACATTGGTTAAACATTGGCATGTAGAAAGTTGATATATGTACAATTCAGAATATACCTGCTTTGTAAGAAGTTAAATTTAAGGTAACATATTTAGAAAGCTGCTAAAAATTGCAAAATTTGGTTGAATAGATAGGGATTTCAAATTAGTGGTCTGACACATATATTAGCCCATTAAACAGCTTTTCAAATTTCAGTCTTTTTTGAGTTTCTTAGTTCTTGACATTAGACAGAGTGACATCAAAAACAAAATAGATCGTACTTTCATTAAATGTGACTATTTTTCCTAGCAAAGTTATAACCAGGGCTCAGTTAGGAAATTGTTATTCCAAGACAGTATTGTATTTAATTATTAATATCCTGACAAAATCTGTGTGCATCTTATCACTTTATAGCATTTGACTTCTTTCGACAGTCAACGTTTCTGTAAATGGTTTTTTAATTTGTTTGAAGGTGTCATTTTCGATGAATCAACACTTCATTATTAAATGATATAATGTTAAGATTTTTTCTGAAGATCATAAAAAGTACTAAAAATAATTAAGATAATTTACCTATAATCATATAAAAAAATGTCTAAAATAGTGTTGCTTTTAAAAAGTTTAAAAGTAAACACTCTTACCTAACTCACGTGAAATTCTTTTGAATCTTATCACAAATATATTTTTCTGACTCCTTACCACAGCAATTTTTTCTGTTAATAATATTGATCTGTGTTACATTGACTGTTTTTCCCAAATCAACACTCCAATATGCATTGTTTTCGTTCTTTGTGTGTGTAAACGTGCTTTCCTTTCCATCAACTGCTTTTGAAGCAGCATATTTTGAATGCGCTGTTGAACTCTGTGCTGCTTTTTTTCCAAGGGCATAGTTATATCCTGTGGGAAAATTGATAAACATTTACAAATTAACATTTGGATATAAATCTTCCAGTAGATACAATATTCGAGAGTTTGCATTTCCCATCATAATGTTCTTGATAGAGAGTTGTTGCTTACAAGGTAGCTATTCAATCAAGAGTTCTAAGTGTTGAGGTTGAAATCGTTACTGAAGAGTTGGTTGATCGTCATTGAACATTTGTTTCACATATGACGATGATATGTTTCGATTGTCGTAACCATTATCCCATCTTCTTTTTACAGAATGAGACCTACAGAATAAGACTTATCAATGGGTTTGTACTTACATGAGCAACACGATGGGTTCCACATGTGGTGCAAGAAATGCCTACCCTTCGAGCAAGAAGAAATTGATGCCTGTCACATATTTGAGTTGCTCAAGTTGACATTTTGTGGACGTCGTAGCGCGAATTTTCAGTAGATTTTACCTTTTCCAGTGGATACTTTTTCTGTTGATATACACTGTGAACGTTTTGTGTATATTTAAATGTATTTAGCTATGTCGAAAAACGTGCATAATGTCAAATCATAAAAAATACAAATTGTTAAGTTTCTAAAAAAACTTGTAAGATTGCTGCTGCTATTTTTGCTATTGGGTGCAATTTTTGTACTCAGTGTAACACTTTACCAAAGAAAAAGGAAATCACTTTATTTTATAACGTTAAAACATTTTTTTTAAATTCTTGGAATATGTTAATTTGAAATATTGCGTCTTGTATTTGAACGATAAGTAACACATTCTTAATTCATGTTTTCATTTCAGTGACCTCAAGGTATAATTTCTTTTGACCAATCACAGATTTCGAGGTTTTCTTGTAACAATGTGCTATTTCCATGTTTTCTATTACTTGGTTATACACATTTAGCGTAACAATGACAAAAATGTCAATATAATTACATGTATTTTTAACAACTAATGAATAAATCGTTATGCAATTGATGCATATAACGTCACAGTACCCAAATTGAACTGACGAAAAGCGTTGATTTGAATCTTACACACGCTTACTAACAAATAAATACTTGGATGGAATTATATCTTATTATAACGTGCTCATTTTATTTCTCAACAAATGCGAAAAAAAAGTAAATTAACGAAAATACCGAACTCCAACGAAAATTCAAATCGGAAAGTCCCTTATAAAATGGCAAAATCAAAAGCTCAAACACATCAAACGAATGGAAAACAACTGTCATATTCCTGACTTGGTACAGGCATTTTTTTATGAAGAAAATGGTGGATTAAACCTGGTTTTATAGCTAGCTTAACCTCTCACTTGTATGATAGTTGCATAAAAATTCCATTATATTGATAAAAAGTGTGAACAAAACAAACAGACATAATAGGTAAAAATGTCAAAAGTAGAAGTACAGCAGTGGGGGAAATTGATAATTTCAAAATTAAAATCGTCTCGTTTGTCATAGTATGTATCTTTTATTCTACTTTAGATAAAGCCGTTCTGCCAATGTTATTAATTTAAAACCTGCTTTTAGGGAAACTGTTGACCACAATAGTTGTATTAGTAAAATGGAAAAAAAGTATAAACAAGAAGCATACAAGCACAATATACATTACCACTTATTTACATCTTAGGCACGTCAAAACGTTGGATCGCATTTGAAGTTAATCTCAGTAAATCAAGATATGATCGGACAGGTGAGACAGACAACTTGATTTCTTAATGTCCTTATTTCGTTGATGGACGTATCAAAAACTCATTTCTATAAGAGCGTTACCATAATTCTTGTAACAAAATAAATGAATATTTCTTGTAACAAATTTAGAGATTTGGTACAGGCCTTATCTTAGGGCTATTCAATTATAATTCACATAGGAGGGGCGGAACGCCGACGATATTTTGGTCAATAGGTGGAAGGTTATCAACATAATTGTATTCTGGAGGGTGGTGGTCCCAATTTAAATTCATTTCTGTTGGTGGGGGGTTTCTGAATGATAGGTTAAACATATTGTACCCCCTGTTTTGAAGGAATATTCTCATGAAAAGGTCGTCTGAATGCAAATAAAGTATGCAGACCACTTATTTTAAGCGTCCGTTTGTGTTCCTGTCAAACGCGACGAGCCGAAAGCAGGAAGAGTTATCTCTCGGAGTCGGAGTTATCTCCCCGATCCTGACACAGTGCTCAATGCTCCTGCTACTCTAAGCAAAAATTATCCTGTACTCCCATCTTCAATGAACAACATACAAATCCTCGGGGTTTACCCATTCACATTTATTTACATTCGCATGGTTGAACAATGCGAACATCGTATGACCAAGTTTCTTCAAATAGAAAATTAAAAATTATATGCAAACTGTAATTGCAAATGCTTGACTGTACCTTAAATTGAATATCTATATCCAAATTAAATTAATAGAAACAGTAATCCTGCAAACAAGTCAGGGTCACATGCAAAAATTGTGTGTTTACATTGTTGGGAGCCATGTGCTTTTTGGCCTTATTATATTGTCATTTTATATTAATATGAATTGTACTAGTGTGAACAGACTTGTTTGTTGATGACTTTGAAATTCTGCAAGACTTACTGTGGGTTTTCAGGTAACTGAAATTAACTCTAAATTTGTTATGAAAGGAAGCTCCTTGAAATTATAAAACTTCAAATTTACAGGTATTGCATGAAAAGCATCATATGGATCCCCACTTCTCCCTGAAGTCAAAATAATATTTTATTGTATACAAATTAAACAACTTAAGTATCCTCTCTCCCTTGTATGCCGTCTCCCCACAAAAATATGTGTGGGTGAATCCAAACTATGCGATCCCTAGAAAAATATTTATGTTTGGCAGAGACAATTAGATTTTTATTGCGCATGTTGCGTGGGTGGCATTGTAAATTTTTAATGAAAAAAAACCCTAATTTTGCGGGAAAATCTGGCTTTGATACACAGGAGAGTATATCATCTTGCCCAACATTTGCCTATTGAAAAAAAAATTTATGTAAGAAATACATAAAAAAAAAAAAAAAAAAATATATTGTGCCTACCAAAAATATTTTATGGCTCGAACTAAACTCCCAGGCCCAAACTCTGAAACATCAAATAGTTGGTGCCAACCAGTTTCCCTACCTGAAGAATACGTCGTACCTGAAAATGTTATTCACAGCTTCAAAACTAAAATGGGCCATAATTCAAATCGCTCTCCCTTTTTAGGTCACTTAGAGCTATTGCCGTCGTGTTGCATCTGTCCTCTGCTGCTCCATACCATTGTTACAACTGTTACATGTTTAATTTTATATTTTAATAGCAACAAAGCTAGGTACACCTTGTCAGATTTTTATCAGAAATAAGATATGTTAGATAACATACACGAACTAATTTTGTTCTCTAGGTAGGGGGTCTGGGAAGAAAATACATATTCTAGGTGGGAGTATATTTTTTAATCTTTTCCATAAGTGGGGGGTACTAGAAATAAGAACAATTCCACACATCACTCCCCCCCCCCCTCGGATAATTTTTACTGGAATACCCCTTAATTGATGTACACTATAACACAAAACAAAATGGCAGAAGTGAAATATATGAATCAATGATAAAAACTAGTATCTTACCTTTTGGTTTTGCAGATATTACTTCTTTTTTGGGGGGAAGGGGGATGGCAACAAGTACTCACTCGGAAGACTGAGCACTCGAGTACAATTTTAATACTCGGATACTCGTTTGCCTTTTAAAAATCTTGAGACATTTCTCCTCACTTTAGTCTCCTTTGAAATATCCCTTTCGTAATACTGATTAATATCTATTAACAAATTAAATACAGTTCGCCTCAAATCTAACGTCTTACATTTAAATTCAGTACTCTTTTTTTTCAATTTCAAAATTAAAAAAAATAACATTTACACATTGCTGGTGTTAAATTACTTGAATAACTCATTTCAAAATAAATTATAAAAAAGTTTACATAGTATATACTTGATGATGAAGTTATGATCATTGTTGAATGTACTCGTTTTAGCAATCAAATTATGAGTGAAATAGCGATAAATAAAATGCTGACTCTCTACATGAACATCCCGTCTCCTTTTATATACAATTGAAAAACCAGGTAATATTTCCAAATTTTACTGATTCAGTGTTTCAGAGTTGCGTTGAATTGTAATTATTAATTTTTTATTTTGATAAACAAACATTATTGAAGAAACATTTAGATAATTATGCATAAGTAATTCATACTTATGGAAATTTCAAATGACACGGATAAGTGGAACAATGACACAATGCTCCATTAATATTTTATCCAATTACATACATTTTGTCACTAACTGATCAGACTTGGTTACCAAACCAAAATATACATTTTAATGCGACATTTATCTGGTCATGCTTAAATATTTTGGTGAGCATTTCCTTGTCTGTACAAGCATGTCGATAGTCACATATTCAAATTCTTGCTTTGAAATACTAGAAACAACTGGTTTCAAGTTTGCAATTGTAAAAGGGTTATTGTTTCTATGTATTTTGGAGTTATCTCCATTCACTAACTGTAGAGCGGAAAATGTGAAAAGTATGCCTAAGGGTAAATGACATGCAATTTTTCAACCTTTTTTGTCTAAAAGACATAAGTGGAAATTCATTCATCATTTAATAGAAATGAGACGTTGTTTCTTACCAAATTGCTTCAGGCTTATTTAAAGTACAACATAGTAAATGCGTAATAAGCAGTTAACGATCGACAACAGACGACGGAGCCCAGTGAAGCCAATAGATCACATTTGCCCTCACTAGTAACCCGAATTTAACTTGAACGGACAAAAACGCATTAACGCTATTTAAATAAGATTAATCATCATTTGATAAAGATTGACAAAAATTAAAAATTAGTTTTAATTCATTTCAAACCATATCAATTTTTTTTAATGCCAGTCAAATAGATTCCTTTGCGGTCAATCAAGTTAATTTCAGATGGTGGTAAGATGCGTCAAACCAATAGGCCACGCCCCCGTTAAACTATTTCAAGCTGGC